TCAGCAGTTCCAAGCCACCAGGAACAGTTCTAACAAACTATAAGCCTGAAAACAGTTAAGTTATTCTACCATAAAAGACTGAAGAGTATGCAAATATAGTTGAGAAGAAATTAATAATAAAAAATTAAAAAAAAAGAGTTTCCAGCATTAATAAGAAAATTAATGCATGGACTGTCTCGATTTTTAATACTTAAATGATCACACTATAACAGCTTTTTAAAAAGATTGGTAGGCCATGTAATGTTTTTCAAAAAGTCACAGCTACCTATTATGACAATAATAGTTTCAAAAGTTGACTCTTTCAGTGTGGCAAGAAACAGTATTTAGAACCTGATCTAAAGCTTTAAATGCATTTGCTATAGCTCCGAGATTAGTCTTAAGCCAAGACAGGACAGTGTTTACATCTCCATCACTCTGAGGATTAGTACATGATATCAAGGAATGTCGGCAATACTGTACCTGGGTACCTATGCATGCACTGCTTATTGGCCACCGTGAACATTAGAACAGAGCAGTATTATTGAATGCTGCAAACAATGAAAACTAAAAATGAGTCCTCTCAAAGGGAAGAGAAAAAATATCAAAGATCATCACTCCAAGAGAAGACATTAGGCTGGAAAGTCACTAGTACCAGCCACAAATATAACAGTCTATCTATAGAATATGGAATTTGCCAAGATCCAAGTTTAGTCTTCATGTGACAAGCACCTATCATAAGATATTAACAAGAAAATTACTCAGAGGAGATAAAAATACATGTAACTTAAAAAAAAACACTAACTTTAAAAATAGCTAATTTACAATGTGTACTAGTTCTACCAGAACTAGTACACATTGAACATTCAAAAAGAAAAATCTATCATAATCTCATTTTGCTTCCACTCTTTGGCTTAATGAATGATCAAGAAAAATGCATTGTTTGGTTAACAATAGGCATAAGTAGAGCCAGCAAGTATACCAGTGAGATGACTATTATGACTTTGACAGAGTGAAGCAACCACAACCCATGGCAGTCAAGGCAGCAACTTCCCTCTTGTAGTGGATTTCACCAGGGAGACTACTGCCGGAGGTCCTCTTCAAAGACTATACCACACTTTTGCTATTAATTTCTAAAGAAGTATTTTTTGGTAACTATTTGGAGGAAGAAACAAAGGAGTCAAACAAATATTTGGTACTATGTTTTCCAGAAGTTTGATATAATTCATTGCTTTCATTTAAAAAAAAATTATTATTTTTTGGCTGTGCTGGGCTCCTGTTGCCATGTGAGCTCTTCCGTGGCTGCTGAGAGCCAGAGCGCTGTCTAGCTGTGGAATGCAGGCTTCCCACTGTGCTGGCTTCTCTTGTTGCAGAGAACGGGTTCTAGGGCTCGAGGGCTTCAGTGGGTGCGGCTCCCAAGCTCTAGAGCACACACAGGTTCACTAGCTATGGAGCACTCATCTAGGCTCTTCCCAGCAGCATCTAGGATCTTCCCAGATCAGGGATCAAACCTGTGTCTCTTGCATTGGCAGGCAGATTCTTTACCACTGAGAGACCAGGGAAGGTCCATTATTCTCATTTTTAAACAGTGAGATAAACACATGCCCTAAGGCCTGTCCTAGTCTGGGGACTTAATCCAGCCTTTCCATTAAATGTCTCCATCTGTCTATAACAGATGTCTTCCCCCAAAATATCAGGCCATGACCATTTTCCCTATAGTTTCCCTGATTTGGCTCAAAGCCATCTCTAGTCATTTCATGAAGCAAAGAGTTCTTTGAAATTGTCACTTTGTAAAGGAGTCTTAGTACCAACTCCTTACCAGAAGACCCAAGGCCTCTATCCCTATGAACTTCAGCTCCTAGGGCTTATATTGATATCTGATATCCCAGCTCCTCTTCATAGCTGACATCAGAAATTTGTTTTATTCTTTCAGTCTTAGTTAAGTGTGAGATATTTTTATTAATATTTCTAAATTTAGCATTTCTATGTTTTGGAAAATGGATGCAAGTAGCTTAGTCTATCCTGTTGTATAGAATTTTAGAGTTGGGTAAGATATTAGAGATCCTATCTTTACTCCATGAATTGAAATTTCTATTTATATATCATCAGGTACCAGATGAGTTTGGCACTTGAAGAAAATTACCTGGATTTCTTATATTCATATAAAATCTCTAAGCTAGCGATTCAATTCTACATATATCAAGCATTGCCAGTGTACAGGGTTGCTGAAGATAACAAAAGGTATAAATTATAGACTCTAACTTTAAAGGGAGATCACATTTTAAAAATAGGGGTTCCAAAAGTGAACAGATAATTGCAAAGTGATGTAATAAGTCTATTACTAGAAGTATGAATGGAATGCTTTGATAGACTTGAGGCTCAGTGCAGCACACAGAAGTCAGAGAAAACTGGAGACCATGCTACTGGTGCTAGACTATGAAGAATCTGTAAATGTATGTGTGCGTGTGGGTGTGTGTGTGTCTATGGAGCTGGTGGTGGTAATAAGGACATTCCAGGCAGAAGGAAGAGACTGCTGATGCCAAAATAAACAGTGCTGATAGTGACTGTGCAGGAGTCAATAATAAATTAAAAAGGACCTCTACAAGTCATGGGTTACACAGGGTTTAATTCAACAAATAGTTGTGAGGTCAACTTTGTTGAAACCATCTGCCATTGAATAACGTACCCTGCATGTAGATGTGGCAGGGATTGTATGCTTGCTTATTTTACTGCTGAGAATATTAAATATTATTAATAATTTGAATGCTTTAAAAAAAACTCCCAAGTTTTTCAAAATAAGCCTAAATGTATCACTTTAAGAAAGAACAAATGCAAAGTTGTAATGGAGGTTGGCTGCTATTATATTCTCACACAGCCACCCTCACAACGCAGGTCTTCACTCTCTCTCACTACCTATAACCCTTTTCAGTTCACATCTCTGCTCCTCCATCTTTCTCTGCCTTTTCAGGAAGGCAAAGTTAAGACTCAGAAGCACTTCTCCCAAACAATCATCAGTGCTGCACTGATTATGCAGCCAAATAAGTCATCAAAGACAGAAGGAATGGATAGGATGACTTATTTTCCTAACCAGGGTAGATGATGGTAAATGATGTTAGAGGAATCATGGTAAAATTTTCTTTTCTCATTAATTCTCACATTTTTCTTTGTATATTCTGTGGAGATCACAGAATGATACAACCATTGATTATGGCAGTGTCTTGCAAATAGTGATATTTTATTTAGTGAATGACTGAATATAATTTAATTGAGCAAAAAAAAAAAAAAAACCCCAACACAGCTGCTGGGACAACTTGACATCTACGTGCAAGAATGAAGTTGGCTACTTATCTCACTCCATACATAAAAATCAAATTAAAGATCTTGGGAGGGGATCAATGGGGAATGCCTGCTCATAGATAGAGGATTTCTTCTTTGGGTTTTGAAAATGTTCTGAAATTAACAGTGATTATTGAGCAGGTTTGTGAATCTACTAAAAAACATGAATTATACATTCTAAAAGACTGAATTTTAAGGTATATAAATTATATCTGAATTAAAAATATAGATGACAAAAAACCCCAAAACAAACTGCAGTGATAAAACCATAGTCGGGAAAGTTGGACTGAGGTTCTTATTGAAATATTCTACTTAAGTAGTCCCAATACTGAAAAGGAATACAAGTTAAAGATAAAAGATCATGTTTTAGTTAAAACAAAACTGAACATAGTCAAAAAAACATATTGTATTTTAATAATTCTAAGATGCATGTTTTTTCACATTTCTGAAATGGAAATAAATCCTATAATTGATAGGGTGTCACAGTTTATTTGGCTGCATTTTTCTTTCTTCATGGTGCATAAAGTTGTGATATATCTTAGATTCAACGAAATGCTTGATTTTTAGAATTATGTGGCAGAGGCTGCCAGCTGTCCTTCAATGTGTTCTCCTCTTCCTAAACAGTAATAAAAATTTTAACTGGGTAAATGACTGCCCAGTTAAAACTATATTTCAAGTTTTCTTGATAGCTAGTTGTGGCCACATGCCTAAGTTCTGGCTAATAGTATGTATGCAGAAGTAACATGTGCAACTTCTGGTTTGTGCCCTTAAAGAGAAGGAACATGCCCCCCCCCCCCCTTCTTCCTCCCTATTTTTACCTTCTCTTCTTTTTCCCCCTCCCTCCTCTGAGATTCCCTTCCTTCCAAACTGCAGATGTGACAGAGGGAGTTGAACAGCCATTTTGGTCTATGAGATAGAAACCCAGTGTTGAGGGTGGTGGGGCAGTGAAAAAAGACACCTCAGTTCTGAATCACTATGAATCCAATACAAGAGCCCTACATTGACTCTGCAAGGGTGTTACATGAGAGAAAAATAAAGTTCTATTTTGTCTAAGTCACTCTTATTTTTAGTGTCTCAGCTACAGAAGCTGAACAATATTCTATATAATATGAATAGTCTCTGACTTTCATTTTTCCAGAACTGTTATTACTTTCTCTGATGGGCTAAATAATGCTCCCTCTAAACACACACATACACACGTCTGGGCCAAAAATGAGTTACCAAATGTAGCATGTACTTATAAGGAATGTATGGTGAATAGCTTTTCACTTTTCTTTATCATGGAAGAATGATTTCAGCCCACATTCAGTCCATATTTCTAACGAATACCTCTGTTAGGACTGTCTGCTCAGTGCTGTGGAAGACAGCTTTTTCAGTGCAACAAGATTTCTTGATAATGTTAAACCTGCCTCGTCAGTTGAATTCTTCTGGCTTTGTGTTGGTGTGGTAAAAAATACATGATCGGATTTCACCATGAAGAAAATTCTTTCAGCAATACATGTACAGTCAAGTTTCCTGGATAGCTGAACATTTGGGTCATGCGTTTTAAAAAATAAATGTCTCATGACAAAACTTTATGAAGATGTAACAATCTGGAAGTCTAGTTCTGTCAGAGTGGCAAGGCTGTGGACAGTTGTGCTGCGAGGGGTGAGGCTATTCTGTCCTTTTAACAGCCATGCTCTTGTTCTTCATATTTGAGGAGATGGAACGGTGAGGAGGCCTGTGGGCTTGATTTTATTAATGCCACCATCTAGAATACAGATTCTCGGATATTTCATCTTCACAAGATGAGCTGCAAACTGGAAAAAAAAAAAGGACAAATTTATAAAGGACACACAAAATTGATATCTGTCTAATCCCATTTTTTTCTCAAGCTGTAACAGACAAAACAATAGTGATATCACTGCTGTCACTGTTCTATCAACAAATCATTTAGTTTTTAATATACATTAAAATTCCTCTTTTCAAATGTATTCATGCTATGGTATAAATGTGTCTAGTTCTCTTTTAAACTTGTTTGAATAGGTGGTAAATATACAAGGTAAACAGTTCTAACAATATAAAAGGGTAAGCAGTGAGATCTAAACTCCTCTTATATTTCTTCTTAGTCCCCCACCCCCAGAAATCATTAACATTCCTATTTTTCCTATATCCTTCCAGTGATTGCCAAAACATTCTCAAATCTATATTTTGAGCAATTTTTATAGTATTTTCAACATATTAGTTACTGCAATTATGTGCACAATATCCCAGCGAGGGCCGACGTTGTTGTCTAGTTGCTAAGCTGTGTCCGACTGGTCTGTGACCCTATGGACTGTAGCCCGCCAGGCTCCTCTGTCCATGGGATTTCCCAGGCAAGAGTACTGGAGTGCATTGCCATTCCTTTCTCCAGGGGATCTTCTTGGATGAGGGATAGAACCCATGTCTCCTTCACTGGCAGGTGGATTCTCTACTGTTGAGCTACCAGGGAAGGGAGGGTCCATAAACTGGTTCTAACATGTTTTTGGAGCAACTGCAATGAACAGTTTGAGACTATAAACTTGTAATAAATAGGAAGGACTGCTCTAAGAAGTCTTCTAGATGCCTCGAAAAGCAGGGCTTTGAAAAATTATCAAGACATACACACATCTCCCTGGCTTGCCCACGTCTACGTATCCAGGATCGTTGATTACCTTTCTCTACACCTTGTACTTGAGTTGTGGACTGTAATCAGTCCCCTGATAAGGATCACTTTAGGGCTCAGAGTCTTTTTTGTTGTACACTGTCTGTTGGAAACAGTCTCCAGCTCCCACCAACTCCTGGGTTTTAGTTTCTCCTCAAAACCACCCCCACTCCCACATGCCTAATTTCTACTTATTTCCCTACTCAGGCAATTCCTTGTCTAGGAGCCAAGTTTGCATTAGGAGACCCTTTTCTCAGTCCCCAGGTTTTTTGTGCAAATCTTTATCTTTGGCTTACATCAGTGTAAATTACCTATTTAAGAGTCTGCTTCTCTAGCAAACTGTAAACTCCTCTAGGATAGTGACAGTGTTGTTTATGTTTGTGTATTTTTTTTGGCCACATTGTATGGCATGTGGAATCTTAGTTCCCTGACCAGGGATCGAACCTGTGCCCCCTGCAGTGGAAGTGCAGTCTTAATTACTGGACCACCAGGGAAGTTCCCCAAATCTTTTTTATCTCTAATGCCCTGGACATGGCAGGGACTCAATATACGCCTATTGATCTGAAGTAAACTATGATACAGGACAAATAACTGAGGGCAAAAGAGTGAAGTAGAGAAGGTTTGCTTGGGCTCTCTGGCATTCTCTCTCTTTACGTGGTGTCCTGTTCCTCCTCCTTGGGTGTTTGTGTCCTCACCTTCTTCTCAATTACTTTATCATAAGCTGATCTCAGATCCTTCAAGAAAAATGACTAATACTTGCTCACAATGCTATTGTCTCTTGGGAGTATTTGAAGCTTATCTGAAGCTTAATATTGGTGGAATCTCAAGCCAGCAGTCTTGACTTTATGGTTCAAGAGAATCAGCTGAGTGGTTTGGTCAGGGTAACTTCGAGGCCTCACTCAGAGATTCTGCTAATAAGCAATAGATCCGGGGCTCAGAAATGTGTTTTTTTGTTTGTTTTTAAATAAACACCATTAGATGATTCTAAAGCAGGTCTGTGGACAATATTTTCAAAAATACTATCTCAAGCCCAAAGCATAAAGGTATTGGTAAGTAGGTAAAACAGATGTTGCTGGATTTGGATCTTAGCAATTTTCAGAACTCACAGAAATGGACCTCAGTATTGCTGATCCCACTTATCTTCTCCATTTCTGTAGAGCCTTAAGAGATTCAAAGGCTATGTACCTTTCAAACCCTAAACTTTTCCAGAGCCACTGAGGGTCTCCTTAAGAGTAGTTAACATTGAAGAGAAACAATGTCCCTTGATCCAAAAGTTATCACGTGAGCTAGAGTAGAGTGCAAAGGGAGCTGATCTTCATCCTGTTCTTCCTGCTTATTTCTCCTTGAACCCCAGTCCTTCAGAACAGAGGCACCAGACTCATCTGCCCTGAGTCGTTGCAGGCAGCAAGCCCCTGGTACTGTATGATTACTGAAACGCCTTGGCTTCATTCTCCCACATGCAGTGATATAATTACCATTTAGGTCGAAATTCTAAAGTAAACATACCATTACTCAAAAGGTCTTGTGGATAAGCAGTCTTAGTGTTCAGAACTTTCAAAACACTGCAGAAGTCAGAAAATGAGTAAGACAGGACTTACTGTACATTTAACTAATTCTCTCTGAAGCTCTGCTGTAGAGCTGGAAAGCTCCCACTGTTATTTTAAGGAGGGACATAACAAGTAGGTTACTATTGAGCTGGAAAATGGTACAGGCGAAGCAAGCAGAACTGAGCATTTTATAACAATCAGACCACTGCAATGTGGGAGGTCTAAGAAGAAAAGCAGAAATGGAGCACAAGGAGATGGCACGTTTAGGTGCCTTGAAAAGAGGCAAGCCTGTGCTTAAGAAAAAGAGCAAGTGTTGAGTTTTCAGGTTAAGATTATGAGTTCCGCTCCCCCAATCCTCTGCGTGTTGTTCCAGTGATCCATGTAACATACTGGCCCCTAACAGTGAAGCCACAACAACATCTTTCCACTTCTGTGATAGAAACAGCTCTTCTCCATCTATTCCTTCATCCATTCATTTATGTATCAATCAAACATTTCACTGAACACCCACGAAGTACCAGGCACTGGTGCAGTTTTTGCAGCACTTGCAGTGGAGGAGACAGTAACAATATTCAGCAGCATTGCTATTATACAAGCAGAAGTTCAAGGTACTTCTATATTTATCAGAGGTTTGCAGGGGGAGCTGTGGCCCTCTCCCCACTCCCCTTTCATTAGTGATACCTGGAGGGAATGAGAACCCAGGTGTGAAACCACAGGTGTTGTACCGATCTTTGAGGCTACAGCTGGACAGGTTAGGGAGGAAAGAAAGGGCTATGAGTTCACTGTGTGAAAACAGCCATGTCATTTATGGAGAAGACACACGGTGGAACAGAGGAGAACCAGGCATACAGAGTTCAGGTTTCATCCATCTTCTGCTCTCTGTCCAGCACCAGCTTTGGTGTGAAGGGCCTGGTGTAGACTGCAACTGAAACTTTGGGAGAGGCCTGACTTCAAGCAGAAATCACAAACCTAGACTTAATGAACAATATCAGTGGTAGAAGTGGCAATATATCACATTGGACCAGTGCTATGAAGCCATCAGAATCATCTAGGTGCTTTTAGTTAACAGAGATACCCAGGCCCACTCTACATCAGTAAGAAGTAGAGTTTCTCGAGATGAAGCTCCAGTATCATTTTTGTTTTATTCACTAGAATCCAATGTGACTTTATTGTGTAACCAGATTGATGACAGCTTTATTAGATAACAAGATTCATTTGCTGCTCATGTTTGTTTGGGACCTCAAACTGTAATTCTTGTAAGTATAGTCCAGTGTGGAGAGCAAGTCACTTTGCACTAAAAGAGGCTGCCATGTTGTGGGACTGGAATTTGCAAGACCAAGTCTTATGTAGAGACAATGGGGTTCCTCAAACTGCACAATCAGTGTAGATCTTGGAAAAGACCCTGAGGCTGGGAAAGACTGAGGGTAGGAGAAGACGGCAACAGAGGATGAGATAGTTGGATGGCATCACTGACTCAAGGGACATGACTTTGAGCAAACTCCAGGAGAGAGTGAAGGACAGGGAAGCCTGGCATGCTGCAGTCCATGAAGTCACAAAGAGTCGGACATAACTTAGTGACTGAACAACAACAAGAAGAAGACAACATCATATGTGGAGTTGGCAAAATGTAGTATTTTCTGGGATAGAATTTTGGGAATTACGACAGCAGTGGCATCTGAATTTCTTGTGGGATGTACTCCCATGCGGAGAGGGCAAAGCTCTTGCATTTTTATCATTCCTCTGGTTAGTGGGATCTGGCAGTGGTATTTGCTTCTAGGGTAGGCACACTTCAAATCAGCCCTGTCTGAAAATGGCAGGCTCTTGTGGGTGCCACTCATCTTGTTTTCTCTATTTATCTTGCATCTTAGCTTGCAATAAGAGGCTGGCATATTTGTCCAAAGAAATCAAGTTCTACTGTAGGAGGAGAGTCGGTGGAGAAGAGGGATTTTTGATCTGCCACAGAGCAGTGCAGGTTAACCAAGGCCAAGAAACCACAGCTGAGGACAGGTGAAAGGTATGAGGGGACTAGAACAGGACCATGTTGTTTCTCACTGAGTATCCTAGGAAACTCTGTACTAGAACGCATAGTAGCAGCAGGAATTTAAGAAAACTGGGCTTCTACAAGATTCCGCAAGGAGCACATTGCAGATAATTAAGTTCCTTAATGTGAAAGTCTGGCCTTGTGAGCTTTAAGTTCATAGCAGGGACTTAATAATGGTCATGAATTGACCAAATCCCTGGTGAAAGTCAAACTGAGAAATCTAATAGGAACAAAATACAGGTGATTTCTCCATCTAGAGAACAGGGTAGCCTTGGGTCAAATATAACTCAAGTACTGTCTTGTCCTGACCCCTGAAATTTCTGGGGTCACTAATAAATGTCCTGATCATTTAAATTGTACAACTCAGTGATCCCAATTAGAAACATGAGTTGTGACAAGTACTAGTAAGAAAGAGGTAGAAATACTGTATGATTTCACATGTGGAATTAAAAACAGTCAAGCTCATAGAAGCAGAGGTAGAATGGTGGTTGCCAGGAGTGAGGGGATCAATGGGAGGAGATGGGCAGATGTTGGTCAAAGGGTACAAAG